AATGATTTTGAAAAGCACAAGGAAGAGTTGTATATAGATATTCAAGGTGTTGGGTGAAAATATAGTAACTCAAACTTTCTCTACCATTCGGTAAAAGCTACATGATTTACTTCTATGACAAATGCAAGTAGAAAGATAAAGGTTAATGAAAAGCAAGCAAAAATCTCCACAAAAAGAAGGTAAAGGTGGTGTGACTGTCCGTCCTGAATTCCATTCCATAGTCATTCTTTCAAAGATGCAACTACCGTATTAACAGAGCTAGAACAGACATACAGACACATGCAAAATCCTAATGTCAGTGTCTGCAAAGTAGCTATCTGTAGGCAAAATCTGGCAAACCATTTGAGATAGACTAAAAAGTTCTATGAAAACATTCCCACTATTGCGTCTGCATTTTCCATGTCTTTCTTTCATAGTTCTTGAATTTTGATACTTTTTAGAATTCTATACTTGTATGTACGTCCCATCTACACTCTTTCTCTACTTTCCAAATCTTCCCACTTCCTCCATCAATCCCTATACCTTCTTCTATAATCATTATTTTCGTACAAACACACACACACACACACACAAACACACACACAACACATCCATTTCCAGTCCATTTAGTATCATTTATATGCTTAAATATTTAGGGCTGACCACTTAGAACTAGGTAACCTATTAAAGGGTTTGTTTCTGGAAACAACTGTTTCCTTTTCCCGTAACAGCCAATGACTATGTCTTTCCATCAGCAATGGGCCTTTACGAAGTTTTCTCCAGCTATGTTGGCATGTCAACTGGTGTGGTAAGAGTAAAACATTAATTTTAAAAGTTGCTCACAATAAAACAGCTTAAACTATTTTCTAACAGATCAACTAGAATGGAGGCAAGCAAGTGACTATATTTAACTCATGGAAAACAAATTAGAAATTTCTACTTATAATTAATTTTCATCTGAGAATTAAGAGAAAAGTTAAAGCTTGCTTATATGGCTGGCAGTGAAATAATGGGTCTCATTACATACATGAGGAATCCTGATTACAGAGAGATCTGTGATAGAGGGACTACCAGGGCACTATTACTGCTTTATATGCTTGCAGTCCACTGAGCGGCACTGCTGGTTGTGAGGCTGGCTGTATGCTTTTTGGCTTCCTACTATCTACCTTTAACAAACCTATCTTCAAGAAAATGGAGAATGTGGGTTAAGACAATTTTTCAAATATAATTCAGAAGGACTATCTTAATGAGGCAAATACATCCACACAGCTTTAAAAGGAGTACCTATCGTCAACAGCGTTTGTCCTGGTTAATCTATATACTTGTGTTTTCCCAGGGACAAACGTCTTGGTCTACAAACAACTCTTACTGAGAGGCATGTCAAGCTTAGCCCTAGCCATATTTCCTCGTTTATTTTTCTCATCACAGCAGTTCTTCTTAATTCTCCAGTTATCCAGGATCATATATGAATGCTACGTAAATGTTTGGCTCTTGAAAAACCAGAAAGAAAAGAAAATGAAGAAGAAAAATGTATTTCCTTCTCACTATTCTTATCCAACCAGAGGCACTTATGCAAATTTCTATGCAAAAGCAACACCCTACTCATAATGTGGTTCCCTTTGCACATTTCTTGAATCCTGAAGAAGGATTGGACACAAGTCTGGAAGAAATGAACGGATCTGCTGCTTCATTTCTTTGCCAGCTGTCCCACAAAGTTTCTTCCCTTGCCTTCACTGGGTCGATGAGTTCTAAGTCCTATCAGCTGAGGAGGAGAAGATGGAAACTGGAAATAATGAATCTGAGACTCTTACTTTTGAAAAGGGTCCTGTGGAACAACATAGAATCAGCTTTCTCACTCAGGATACTGGGATCTTATTCTTACCAACTCAGAACTTTCGTTTTATATCCTCCTCAATAGTTTTTTTTTTTCCTGACATTGCTTTTATGTTAATTTAAGATAGTGTATTAATAGTGAGGTTATTTTTAACTACAGATATTAGTTTGAATTTGGAAATTGATTTTTTTGTTTTACTCTGAATACCTAGTAAAAAGGAAAAATATCAGGAAAATGGAGAGAATAAGAATGACAAAAGTTAAAGGCCATATGCACACTGTGATAGAAGTTAAGTAGCTTATACATATAGTTGCCAATTCCTAAAAACAGTTCTGACAAACAAGACTCGTGATCCTTCCACATAGATGAGGAATCAAATACACCAAGTCTATCAGTGATCCCCACTGGTACAGTTAGTGATGGGTGCTGTGTCTGTCTTTATTTTCCCCTTGAATTGCTGTAATGTGTATGTGCTGGTTGTAGACTGAGCCTTCAAAATGCTACAGAAACTTTGCATAAAGGACTACTTCTTTGGCAACTTGTTTATTAAGCCGCAGAGAAACACTGTTATAATCTACTGTTGTGGTCATTGTTCATCCCCCCACACACACACACAACTTGTTCAGCTGATATTTAAGGCCTACCATTTAACTTGATTGCCAAATCCTTACGCCTTGTTTTTATACATTTTGTTTTGAATGTATAAAAGGTTTCAATGAGTTTTTCAGACTGACCTTGAACTTTATCTATCAATCAGATAGGCCTTAAAATTGACACCATTCTGTCTTAGACTCCTGAGTAGCTGGGATGACAGGTCATTATCAGAAGTCATAGATGCATTATCATCTTTAAACTTAATAAAATATCATTGAGTAGATGTGTTTACATTCATGTCATTATTATGAAACAAAATGACATATATCCGCATTTGTCTAAAGTGTTATAATCAGGCTGGGTAGAGCTGAAATTTGAGTCACCAACTTAACTGCCTTTTAGTGAAACATCAAGTAAAACAGCTTAGGCAAAAACATCAACAGAGTTGCTGGTACATGATGGGTTTTGCTTTTCCTTTTCTTTCCCAGATCAATTACTCTATTCTCTTGGAATAATAAGAGCAAAATGTGGATCTGTTGTTCCATTCGAAAGTTGAGGGTTAGAAGAAATTTCATCTTGATTGTATAATAAATCATGGGATAGTCACAGCTGGAGAAGAAAGTGGATCTTGATCCATGCACCACAAACTTTCCACAAGCAGTCAAAGGTTCCTTCCTGCCAGCATGTGTTACATTGGTAAACTTCAGTCTCAATTCTTTTTACTTTTGAAGAAAAACATTTCCAGCTAATAACACAATTACACTTAAGTATCAGGGTCCATTTTAGTATTATTGCATTTGTTAAATCTAACTGAGTCCAAATTACTTCCTCAATGCTAATAAGAGACAGAGGAGGACAGAGAAAGGGAAAAATGAAGGATGTGGAAGGGGATGGAGGTGGGGTAGGAGAAGAGGGATAAGTAGTCTTGAGGCAAATGAAATTTTAAAATGGTTTAATAAACCAAAGAAGACTTGAATACACAATGCCAGAGTGGAAAACAGAGATATCAATGTTCCATATAGCCTCAAGCCCAATAAATGTCAGTTAAACATGCAGCCCACAGTTTCTATGGAAACCCCTTAAGTTAAGAGTGGAGTACAGACATTTTTGGACTGCAATCCACAAGCTGTTTATTTAATTATAAAGAAACATGAGACTGTTAAGGACAATACTATTACCATACTGATGGCATTTAGGGTTCAACAAATAGGTTTGCAAAATGAAATGCTGACTTTAAAAAAGTTGTTAACTTTGCATTAATGCTATGTGAATAAAAGGCATCTCATATTTACAGGACTTCACACATTATTTCCCTCAGGCGAACCCCAAATTAGCCAAATGACATTCATTGAAAAGAGAGTTCTTCAGAGGCTTCATGCCAATTATGCCCCCCTACACCCAGTGAACAAAACCAAGGTCACAGCATATTTTCAATTAAACCCAAGATAGCACCAAAGTGCAGCACAGCTGGAAAAGCCAGCCCATTATTACCCCATAGATCATTTGTGAGCAATGAATAGGTCTCCAGTGCTTTTCTGTTTTATAGGCATGTGAATATAAAAATAAAGAAAATAGCTTCAGATCAGCTTTTGCCTTCTAAAATAAATAAACACTTTTAGGGCTTTATGCCTGGTGGCCTGAGGAAAAAAATGATTGGAAGTTATCAAGATCTCTCTTTCTGGTCTTTAATCTGGCCACAGAGAACCATCTGACTGATGGATTTATTCATTTCTTCCTTCTTTCACTAAGCAAACATTTCATTTTCAACCTACACTGTGTGAGTCCCTTGCTAAGGGACAGGGAAGACAGGATTGTTTGCTATCCCGTTCTTTAATTATGTGTCTTTCTAGAGGACTAACATGATGCAAAGGCACTGGATTAAGTGCCCACCTTCCAGGAGATAACAATTTAGTGAGACAAAGGAATGCATAATCATAAGGAAAGAGGCAGTGTCCTTCCTGCTGCTTCCCAGTCATAATGCCTCTAAGTAGGATTATCAGCTAGGGGTGCTACACTGAGTCAGAATATAAAGGACTGTGTGTGTGTGTGTGTGTGTGTGTGTGTGTGTGTGTGTGTGTGTGTGAGAGAGAGAGAGAGAGAGAGAGAGAGAGAGAGAGAGAGAGAGAGAAAGAGAGAGAGATGGCTTTTCAGAAGAGAAGGTAAGATGGGGGACTTCAGGGCTCTTCTTAGAAGGGAGCCTGATAAGCAACTGTGGACAAGGACCCAAGACTTAGGCAAATTATGTATTCTGTACAATGTATTGAAGGAAGAGGACATCACAGGAAAACTGAATCTCAAGGTCAGTTATTTCAAGTTGAATCACGGAGCATGAAGCCTATTTCAAATTGTCAAAGGGAAACCTACACAGATTCAGCAAATAAAACTCACTGGACAGGTCTTTTCTGCTATATTGTAGCTTTTTTAAAAATCAGTTATCATTGGTAGTAGCTGGACTTCTTACAAATTGCTCCAGCGAGGAATGTATGTCATTGCTGTTATCAGATTTGACAGCATATAATGAGCCCCTTCGTGTTAGCTGTGGTTGTAGTGTTCAGCATATTGTGAGAACGATTTAGTATGAATCATCACCCACCTTGTTCTCCATTGGGGTCTCTACACAGTAAATAGGCAACGTGTTTGCCAACCTAAAAAAACAAAAACAAAAAATAAATCGTATCCATCGGAACAATTCAGCACATTTCCTGATCTGCCATGACCAACAACACAGATACCACTGGTGACAATATTTATTGAATCACCACTGTATTTTAACACAATGCTGGGCAGAAAGCCAAAGAAGCTATTTTAACCACTGGCCATTTGGAATAATGTACTTTTTAATGACAATAAAAACATGCATTTGAAATCAGATCTGCAGTCCACACTTGGTTTTCACTTATTAGATTTATGAAGTTAGGCAAGTCACATTTTCTTTGTGATCCGGTGTCCTAGTCATAACCATCTCAAAGATCAAAAAAGGCAATACTCAAAATAGATAAGCAGCTTACTGTTAATTATTATTAATGCCAAATGACATGTTAAGAGTTTGACATAAGTATCTACTACAAATTTCATTTGAGTGCTTTTTTTCTCCTGTATCCAAAACATAATAAAAAATACATGTATTTCTCTATAAAGAACTATTATACATATAGGATGGAAGTTAGAATCTAAGATCGAGAGTCACATAGTATGTCGAACAATGAGACAGTACATGACAGAATTTGTGTTTTTTGAGTATCATTGAAATAAAATAAATATTCTTTAATCCCAACAATTACAGTAATCTAGCTCACGTTTGGAAACATATTTGGTACAGACAGACTGTACTGAGATAAAACACAGACAACTGTAGGCGAGGAAATCACTCACTTAGAAATAAAGATCAAACACTAAAGTGGATATTGACATCACCAAAAATTATATTGATAGTAGGATGGAAAAGAACATTGCGGGGGGGGGGGGGGCTGGTATTTAAATCTTTAAGCAATGACGAGAAAATGACAGAGAGAACTCTGGCTGACTCAGAGAAGGAGATGATAGCAGACCAAAAAAGTGATAACCCATGAAATGAGTTTCAGAGTCAGGCATTTTGTTGTGTGTGATGGCTTTATTTGGTAAAAGATGATAAAGTTAAACACATTTTACAAAGTAACATGCTAATCCTGATCAACGTTATCATTAAGCAAATAAAAATGAGTTTAAGTAAAAGAGATCTTAATGTTAAATATGAATTTCATGTTATTAATCTTAAATATATATAAACTCAAGTTTATCAAAATTTCTAGCAAATCTTGATTTTTGTATGCAATGTTGACTAGCCTTCCATAGGTCATATGAAGGACTGGTTACCAGTTCATGATCACGGTACTAACAATACCTTGATGAAAGCAGAAGAAGTAGCAAAAATGGTGTGAAGGAAATCCAAAATTATGAAAGGGTAGAGGCTGTATGTATTGCTGAATCAAATAACCAATTCTCCATTTTCATATTCATCAAAATTCAGTAGCATTTGACATAGTGACTAGCACTGAGTACTTTTTGAAAAACACCAAACACTTGACTCCTAGAAAGCTATTATTTTTATTTTCCTTTGCCTGTGGTGATTACTCTGCTCTGTGCCTGCTACAAATGTCTTACCTCATAGATTACTGAACCCTAGAGTGTCTCAATGTCTGAGTACTAGACTCATTCTTAATTTATTTTCACAAACTAGGCAACATACTGTGGCTTTAGATGCCATCTACAAACTACTTTAAAAAATCTAAATTTTAACTACCTTTCAGATCAGCATATATAAACACTTTTGTAGGCCCATCACTTGAAAGTATCACAATTAATATTTTCATTGTAAAACTGTGATTTTTTATGCAATTTTCTCCTTGAAAATATTTTAGTGGTAGAAATGTAACCTATTCATTATGTAATCCAGTATGTACAAAGCAATGTTAGGATCATTTATTTTCTTAGTAATGTAGGCCATAGTTGTATTTATAACATCTTCTCTGGGTGTCATATTTTTTACCTTTAGCCCACATCACCTTTATATTTAATCTGCTATATGTTTAGCTTCCATATGATGTTAATCCTATTTATAAAGATTCTAGTCCCTTCTAGGTAGCTCCACAGCTAACTGTAGGTTCCTTTCTTTTCCCTGGATAATTGGGTTTTTCTATAGCTTGGCACAATATCTGTATTCTTTGTTCCTTTTTTCCACTCTCCTCAGTCTTTTCTCCAAACAGAAACAAAATCCTATAAAAATTCACATTCTCTTATCTTTTTCTCTATAAAATCAATGCTTTTCTAGTTGTCAATAAGCCTACATGTATTCTGCATTACCTCTTCTTCTCTGATCCCAATCTTGTACCTCAGTTGCTATTATGTCCTGGCTAAATGTCTTCTTACATTTTCTTCAACATGCTAAGCATACTCTCTCCACAATTTTCTTCATAAGACTATGTGGCCATTCAAGAACTCCATGGAACTGATGCCACTACTTGAAATAATGTTTTGTTTAAATTTAGCACTGTAAATTTCACATATTTAGAGTACTCTTCCATGCCCATGTACACTTACATTTAGCTATTACTGTGTCCATGTACCTCTTATTCGGCTTTATATAACACTTAACCTGAATTGTTTCAAAGAGGAAAGGAGCCATTGTTGCCATGAATCATCCCAATTTTCTATAAGAATTATGAACATATGCTTTTGTGTTTCTCTAAAAGAAGCACTATTGTCTCCACTGTAGAATAAAAACTGAATATTATATTTACAGAGTCACTGATACCAGCTCTCTTCCATCCAGCTACACCCTCATTCATGACAGGCAGTGCATTTCATTCCATATGTTGAACAAATCACTGACTGTCAAGTAAGTATGAGTGCGATAAATAAAATGAATAAAATCACTTACTTAATAATAAAAAACATATGCAGGGAAAAAGTAATAGCTGAAAATGCACCAAGATTTTGAACTGAAGAATTAGTTACTCGAAATTTAAAAACTTACTTTTAAATGTACTTTATTTTAGTTAATTAATTTAATTATTAGATTTAATCTAATAATTATTAGATTTAAGTTAATTAACTTAAAATATACTTTAAAATTGCACATTCACAGGTCAAATATTTTATTTTTATTTTTGCGACTATAATATAATTACTTCTTTGATCCCATTCTTCTTCTTGCCTCCAAATCTTACCACACATTACCTCCTTGCTCTTTATCAAATTCATGGCCTTCTTTTTTCACTAATAATGATTCAGACATAAATTCCAATTATAAACCATCATATTAGAATTATTCAGTTCAGATTTGTGGAAAACCCTTTCATATCCTTGCTACTTCTGGTGTAAAGCAACCAAAGTATGTTGAAGACCATGGAAATTTTTCTATTTTCTAGACTCAAACAATTAATCAATTCAATGATAAAGAGGTTCTATTGCTTAGTTGCCTTGTAGTTTGATCCTCAAGTGCAAAGCTGAGAAAGAATCCATTTGCCTCACAGAGCACTACTGCCCACTGGTGCCACATATCTTTGTTTCATGAAACCAAGGCAGCCATTCAGTTTCTCTAATATCACAGCTCAGATGTAATGTCACACTTTTTTGACTTCGTCCTTTCACATAGGACTTGTCCAGACAAAGACTTTTAAACACTTGCTTATTATTCATTTCCACCTTATTCTTTCCATTTTGCCTCTGATTACTTTGATAAGATAGACTATACCCCGCTAATAAGGACATCCATTGACACTGCACAGTTCTGTGCTTTGCATTTCCTTGAATGAAGGTATTCTCCATGGAAGTTAAGAGGTATGTATAGACGAACCAGTAAACAGATAATACACTTTTGTTTCTATAGCAGATAAAGCTGAGCCAGACCAAGGTGCATGAGAGTAGGAGATGGTACAAACCACATGTTCTTGATTTTTAAATAATAGCATCAAGCCAACCTCGACTCTAACTAATCATAATCTCTACTCTGAAAGAACACATGGTGGCTGTGGCATTAATCTTCATGAGTGTAGTGATGAAGGATGGATCAGGACTAGCAAAGTCATGAGTGACTTATCTGACGCCCCACACGAGTGAAGATAAAAGGCATGAAGTATGCTACTGTGAATCATAAACAGTAATTTCACATTTATGTCCACTGGCACAAACACTCTGTGGGACTTTTTCCTGACCTGACAGTGGTTCCTTTTCAAAACACTGAACAATAACAACAGAGAACCTAGGGGAAAGTCAAACGGGATGAAAAATGCAAAAACCTCTTCTATTGACACAGGCTTCCCTGTGAGAGAAGACCTCAGAAGTCATCTCTCAGGGAACTCTCAACTGGTTGTGAGCCTCAGAATCAGATTTCCACATGTCTCTGGCTGCTATCATTAGGCTAATGTCATAAAAGAATCACAAAGAGTTCCCCAGGGTGCTTCCCTGGAAGCCTCTCTATCCTGTGGAAATCCAAGAGAATTTAATTCTAACAATTCAGGAGGCTTCCAGATTTTCACCCAGAGTCCTCCTGATTACTGCTATTTTGTGATGATACTTATTCATCTAAGAGGATAACATAATCCTGAATTTCTGAGTCAAACTAGGACAATGTCATAACATTTCTAAAACCTCTGATAAGATGAATAGACTAAAGAAAGTTGTAAAATATCATCGTGAGGGAAGGCAATCATTTATAGCTCTAATAAGGTAGTTGTTCCATGCCAGAGTAGCACTTCATAGAGACAACGGTACTGAGAGCACAAGGACTGGATGAAGTAAACACATTCAAACTTAGACCTATTCCAACTGAACCCCGTCAGCCATGAGTAAGTCTTCTTGGTGGAATAGACTAGAAAATGGCTTTCTCCAAACTACTAAAAAGCTAATTATTCTCTATGCCAAATAGAGTCAGAGTCACAGTTTTTGAATACACTCAGCTTTTGCCCAATTTCATTAGTCCTTCTTCCCATATACTGATAGACTCAGACTGCAACCTCCTTAGGACAAATACTGACTCTTTTGTCTAAATTCCCTCTCATATTCAGTCCTGTGTCATCATTAATTCAGATTCAATTCCAGTATTTTATTCTAAAAGTTTATATTCTATACAACCAGTTGCTTTGGTAAAAGTGTTCAATCTAATTTT